TGATTTCTCTGGGAGCATGTTCTCCAAAATTTGTCTTCATTTTCTTGCTTCACTGTTCAACAGTCCTTACGCTCCTGGCATATGATGTTCTCTTCATGCATGTACCTTCTTTGATGTTATACCTAATGGAAGGAATTTTGTATTCGAATTTCCTTGTAGCATTACATTTTCTCCTGCAGTATTTCCTGGGTCGCCATCTACTTCAGCGCCACTTCCTGAAAAATTAATATCGTCGCGTTTTAACTAGGCAACGCGGCAAGAAAATTGCGTGGGTCTCGGATTTCAACGAATATTTAGTGGACGATCACTCTTTGCACTGTTAGAGTCAGAGTTACTTTACAACTGGCGGCTTACCGCCAATCAGATCATCTTGACGTCAGGCCCCTTGAGGCCCACGACCAGAGACTTTTTTCAAACTGAACTCATGCGGTAATAGTCCTTATGTAACATCCTCTCTGACAAGAAGATGGGTCTGTCTCTTATGAATACACTCGACCTTTCGTCAAGTGTGTATTTCGCACATATAATATGTTATCGAAAACTCTTCCTTTTGCTTTACACACAAGTCCTCTGTCAGTACAGGCTATACAGAGCATATCATTCCTAACTTACAGATCTTATGCTACAACGAAAACTTAGTCATTTGAACGGTCATAAGCTTGACCACCGCCAAGTTTAAGCCTCTTATATTTTCTGTGTCTGGCTTCACCTTGTCCTATACCGCGAACATGTTCATTCTCATGATTTTGTATGACTTCTGCTTGTCGTCTGCACAATTTTGTTGTATAATCGTATACATACGGAAAGTTGAAAGCCGTGTGCAAGTCGCGGACTGGTGTGCACCTTGGAAAATTTCCAGTGGTGCGCAAAACCTTGTTTTGTATGCGTTGCAATGTTAGGCGGTAGGTGTCTGCCGTTAATTTCCAGGCGGGACAAGCGTGAGTCACTACTGATCTGATCACTGCCTTATAGAGGGATAGTTTAATGTTTGCGTTTAAACGCTCACTTTTGAAAAGTGAGTAGATTCTATTAAATGTTCTGAAGGCCTTGGCTTCAATCATTTCTATGTGAAGTCTCCACGTAATAATCTTATCTAAGGTTACGCCCAGGTATTTTACATGATTGACGAAGGGGATATTCTGCCCATTCAATTTAAGATAAGTCTGAAGGGGTCTAAGTCTAAGAGAGAAGTAGATTGCCTGAGTTTTATCTTTATTGATTTTTATGTTCCAGCGATCACACCATGTCTCAATAACACTGAGACCTCGCTGCAGCTTTCTGAGAACATAACCCTCTTCGCGGTCTGTCGCATATATACAGGTGGGGGAGAGAACAGAACCTTGTGGCACTCCTGCTTGTATATCCTTTACACTCTTGTCGGATACGAACTGTTATATCCTGCACTCGGGCCGATTAGGGAACACCTTGTCGAAGGGTAACTTTCATCCGATTCTGTACAGTGAATCTCTTGTTGCCGAATGAATACATTTTAATGCCTCAAACAGTTCATTGTTAACCTCTTCGTAGCGGTGGAAACCCCACTGTTATACTTTCATTTCCGGGGCAACTATTACTAGTCGTTGACCAGTGATGGACTTCTTATTGTCCGGCCTTCTTGGCGGCACCTCACAATATGAATATTAATGTGTGAGTTATAGCCTAAGGAGTACACACATAGTACTGCTCAAAATGTCCTCCACGAGATTCAATGCACGCTCCGACACTTCCCATCATCGAATGCCGTATCCGTTCAAGAGTGTTGGGGTAGTTGCGGGGTAATCATTATTCACCACCGACACTAGTGGGCGAGGGATAATCCATTCTAGACACCACCAGCAGTTTAGCATTGATATGTGGACAGGATGTGTTGGTGATTGTTTGGTAGACTCGCATGTTTTACCACATCGGCTGGCAGGCAGTCACTGCCAACACCTCACATGATTTTCCAAAGCTACTGGAGGACGTACCACTGACAGTCAGAACGAATGTTGTGCGTGCGTGATGGTGTTCCGTGCTGTGAGATGTGTCCAGAATAACACCTATCATGACCGATGTCAAGATAGAGGAGGGCCCTGCATGGCCTACACGCTCCACGCCAGATTTGAATCCTCTGGGTTTTTACCTGTGGGAACATCAAACAACCCTTGTGTATGAGGCTCCTGTTGACAACGAAAAGCGCTTCACCGTCGCACTGTGGACGCCTGTCAGAATATTCGCAAATACCCCGGCATCTTTGCACGGATGCGGCGGTCCGTCATGAGACGTGCCGAGGCGTGCATTGAATTTCACGGAAAATATTTTGAACACTTACATTATAAATGTACTATTTCAGTTGTAACTCACAAAATAAATGTATCCGGACACGTATTGATATGAAACTTTTCTTGTTTTGGTATGTTGAACTCTTGCATAAATTTGTCCAGATTTTCCAGTTCTGCCTTACTATGAATGTCACTGGCTGATTGTGGTAAGAGATTTGAACGACAGATGGAATTTTCTGAGTTGTTTAGATGTTATTGGTGGCAAAAATGTGAACATCAAATGCTCAGATATTACGACCGTGGAAACAAATATTACTACTACAAAAATTCTTTTAGTTCGAGACGTTTTATTGTTGCGGATGCTGAGAACTTGCTTCCCTGCTTTTACATATAATTCAGGGAAGACTATATGATGGAAGCAATTTCCGCCGCATATCGTTTCGTGGAGCTCATGTAAATGCTACATTAAATATTACTCCACCAGAACCATTCCAGGAGCACAACAGCCGTTACACTATGTACTCGTAATGGCAGCAGATGGATGATACACTTCCTCTCATGGAAAATCGTACTGATCAGATTTAGGCAAAAGACTTTCAAAAAGAATCATTAACTACAACTTTATTAAGGAATTATAATGCAGTAGAGAAATGTTCTGGAGTATCATAATACAAGCCGGAAAGTCGCGGGCTTGATTCTCGATGAGGTCATTGAAGTTTTTCAATTCACCTAACCCTTCCAGCCGCACTGTTACCCTGGGGTAGACTCAGCCTCTAACAAAAATGAATACCACAAATCTTCCTGGGGGTAAAGGGCGGCCTGCCGACGCTTAAGACTGATAACCTCACCGCCATTTGTGAGCCGATTGTCTAGAAAATGTGAGAGCCTCGACGTCTCACAACCAACTATGGGCCTCCACGGCCTGTTACGGGGATGGATTTATTTACTTTTCTTAAGTTATTAGTGGCATTGCTTCAAGTGGGCTGCTCATCACTAGATTAATTTACTGCAACAATGGAATATATAGCTTTCTTCAATGGAATAAGGACACAACAAACACCTGCTTTCAGTTTGATGACAGTAATCAAATGAACAACTGGAGCTAGACGCGTGGAATTTGGTACTCAGATCTGTAGTTGACTAAGAGGTTTGTGTCAGTAGTATATTAATAAAATTACTGACTTTATGGACATAGTACATCGTCTTGTTTTTTGTTTAAAACCAAGTTTTCGGAGACTGGACTCTTGTCTCCATCATCAGCTAAAAGCCTATATCCAGAGATAAGAACTAGCCCTATCGATTACGCCCAACTGAGTAGGCTTTTTACCTGAAGACGGAGATAGAATCCAGTCTCCGAAACGTTGTGTTTTTTTAAATAAATGAACAGGATGATGGATAATATAAAAAAATTCAACAACTAACCTAGGAAATTGTTCTAGAAAGTAAAGCAAAACAATAATAGTAGTAGCAATAAAACTGTGAGTTTAACAATATAAGAACTAGGACTGTAGTGGTTACGTATTCTGCTCGAAACCCCTTGTTGCACTTCCTCTTGACATGGAAGTTCCGGTAAATCTATTCTGAAAGACCTGTGAGAGTAGTCATGTTGGGAATTTGTTCGGAAGTGAACCGCTTATTGCAAGCAAACATGGCGGAATATCAGAGTTTTTTATGTTCTTGAGAGCACATTTATTGTTTTCTTTTCTGCCAGTGGATGTTTTTTGCACTGTGGAAGTGAACAGTATTGTCAGCGTTTCGGAGGAGAAAGATGCCTTTATCTTCAAGGTCGAAATGGTTAATGTAGGCGAAATTCTGTGCGTGTATAGATTCCTTTCTTCCAAAAGAACAGGAGTGAGCCTGGGAAATGAAGTTGGTACCCAGTTCAGACCAAAAGGGGCAGTGGAGGAGAAAATTTTCCAAGTGGCCCTTTTTAGTGCCATATATTGCACCAGAAACATCTGAAAGAAGGACCCGGATAAATGGCCGCGTTGAAACACCGGTTGCCATGGTTTCGCTGCACCGCATGGCTCTGATAACATTCCCCCTCCACTGCCATATAGGCCCAATCTAAACATGTACCCCCCTCCCATCCTCCTTGTGTATGTCGGATCAAACAGAAATATATACACGAACACTCGCTCATTCTACTCATTTCAACCTTGAAGATTTAACCAGTATGTACTTCCGAAACGTCGGCTAAACTACCCGCATCTACATTGTGCAAGGTCCCCAAGAGCAGACTCGCCATAGCAGTCCAGAAGCAACGGATGTTTTTATTGTAGAACTTGAGGTTATCACAGCGGTGTTTACGTGGAGTTCTACCTTCTGGAATATAACTGTGTAGTCCGTTGAAAGTCAACCGACGTTTAGGAGGAATATATGTCCATCTTCATTGTTGAAGAATAGGCCAAGCAACAAAGTAGCGTGAAAGGAGGAGGTAAACGGAGCTCTTCTTTCACGCTGCTTTCATAGTCGGCTTATTTCTTCGATCCTGAAGATGAAGGCGACGTGTCACTCCTAAACGTCGGTTAACTGTCAAGAGACTACACGGAATAATATCCCAGACGATATGAACTCTTCGATGTCTTTATTATTTTTGTTTTGTCTCTCGTCTTCTTAAGGAAGTAGTTATCCATTTTCTAAAATATGTCTCCGATTGTAATATTTTGTTTAATTTTGCGGGCACCTTGTCCCTTTTCAAAAACGTGCCACTGAGCTCTATGCTGCTTCTGCTTGCAGACAAGCCGGCTTCGCGGAACGTCACCAAGGTCATTGCGATGGATGACCACAATAAACCCTTCTCTTCCTCCAGCTCGGAGATGAAGCGCGACCATTCGGGGACCCCGGACCGCCTCACCCCACCCCCAGACCCCCAGGGGGGCTCAGGTATTTTATTGCACGATATCGCACTTTGTTGCATGACGCACACGCACAATCAGTTTGCAGCCTGTTCCTTCTTTACTCCGGTAAACCTACTGAAGAGCCGGGATAGCGCAGTCGGCATAAGCGACTGGCTATGGGCTGGACGACCAAGGGGTCGGAGTCCGAGTCCCGGTGGAGGCAAAAGTTTTCACTTCTCCATATCATCTAGACTGGCTTTGGAGCCCACCCAGCCCCCTATTAAGTGAGTACCGGGGGGTAAAGCTGCCTGGTCGTGAAGCTGACTACTCACCTCCAACTAGTGCCGAGGTCAAGAAAACGTGGGTCTGTATAACCACTCCCCCATATATCTTCANCGAGCCCCGGATGATAGATGATGACCGTGGAGCAGTCGGTGGAATAAGAATTGGCAGGATAAACCGAAGTACTCGAAGAAAACCTTGCCCCAGTGCCACTTTCTTCACCACAAATCCCACATGATCTGACCTGAGCTAGAACCCGTGCCGCCGCGGTGGGAAGCCGGCGACTAACCGCCTAAGCTACGACACGGCCCATCAAATACCCTTACTGTGTACGTACTGCACGCGATGGGATCCCCGGTAGCCACTGTTTAGGAGACTGGGCCGACTCTAGAGCTGGTCTGGACGCTATGAAGAACAAACAGATCACGTTACTCCTGCCATGAAATGGAAACCCGATTCCTCGGTCGTCCAGCCCGTTACCTACATTTGAAACCAAAATATGACTTCAGTTCCTTTTAGTAATATGTCTGTTTTATATATACGTTGCTTGAATGTGTTCAGGTATATCAACGGATTTCTTACGTTGAACCCTTACAAACTTGTGTCTCCACTTGTTCTGATTATTGTCTCCACCGTGGGCGTAATAGAGGACACTCAAAAATATGAAATTTTCTCCTTACACTTACCAATATATACGGCAGCCACGTCTGTTAAAGCGATGTATGCGGTGTAGTTTTTGGGTGCCACTCGAATCCTCGTTCCCAGTCTTCTGTTTCAGTGACTGAACATGATTTTTTTTAATGTAAATATTATCCCTTCTTTAAAATTTTAGCCACTGGGCATTATATTACTGAGAATGGAAGTAGCCATATGCCGGTCGAAAATGGGTATTACGCTTAAATTTTAAAGCACCTTTAGGCCACAACCAACACACTTGTTTAGAAGGTAAATAATTTTTTAAGAAAATTTATAAAATCCTTTTAATGAATCATTAATGAGAACCAACAGGAGCCAAAATCAAGATCTGTTCAATAACTTACACGAGTAGGCCTCTAGCACCGAGTTTCGTTAATATCCGTCATGAACTTTGAATTTGAAGCGTCTGGAGTGTGCTCCTCCCTACTAAGCGTTCATTTGTGCAGTTCTTTCAAAGAATATATGCACGATTTTTGCTATATATTATTATAACCATGAAGGAAAGTCTACATTCCTCTTGTGGAATTTGTTCATGTGTTTTGCATTATTCTCAGAAAGAAAAGCTACTATGCGCACAAAATAAAATTAACCGATTTATCTTTATAATAGAGACGCTGTGTGTTTTCTATGTGATGGGAAATAACTTCTGAATGTTACTTAGATGAAATGCGAACTTTAATGTTTAAAACCAGAGTATTATTGTCACATGTTTATGACTAGACACGGCGTTTCCATTGCCAGTTGGATTTATTGAACCCATAGGACTCGCAGTTACAAATAATTATAACGCTATTCCTAATCTGCGCCTCAACAAATTACTGTAGAACACGCTAAGTCTCAGTCTGTTACAGTCTTCACGAGCCGTTGCGTAGCAACGGATCCCTTTCTACTCAAGTCATTTCCGGCCTTCTTTCATCTCACAGCTAATTCGTTGCTCCAGCTATCGACACTCAGCTCATGACTGACTTCGAATTCAGAGTTATGTTGCGACCAAAGGTCAGTCGGCCAGTCTCTCTTAGTGTCAAATTCCATCTGGGACCCAAGACGAGATTTCTGTTGCTACTGTCTGACAGTAACAGAAATCTGGTCTTGGACCCAAGATGGGATTTGACACAAAGAGAGACTGGCCGACTGACCTTTGGTCGTAACATAACTCTGACTAGAGGACGGGTCTATCATTTACAACTGCTGCAAATCCTCGCCAGCACAGTCATTCTTGCGTCCGAGTCCCGCCAATCATGACTATGTTTTACAGTATCAAATTCGAGATTCCCTCAACCTGGAGGGCTAGGTCGCCGTATTTATATCCCCCAGGAACAGGGTGGCCCAGTTATGCCCCCCAACCACTGGGTTCCACTTTCCGTCGCTTCCTAAGACTCGCAGGGCTACTGCGGAGGTATTCTAACACGCCTCCATACCGGCAAGTGTGTCACGACTGACTCCAGTCCAGTCCAGTAAATTCCTGTTGGCCTTTGCCAGCACAGTCGTTCTTGGTTTCAAGCCGCTTAGGAATCCAGGATCATAGTTTGTTCTTTCCATAATTTACTTGTTTTGAAATGGGCCCTGCTCTCCGAAGAGATAAGGGGTCTGACTACTGTTGGTCCCTCCCTCCCCCCCCCCCTACTGGGGAGTGTCAGAGTCAGAGTTGCTTTACGATTGGCTGTCTACCGCCAATAAATTCTTCCCAGTGATTAGTCTCTAGAGACTACCGACAAATAATTTTGTTTCCTAGCTGAACCTTTGCGGTTATAGTCCTTATATAACATCCTCTCTGACGAGAGTATGGGTCTGTCGTTTACAACTGCTACTGGGCCTCGCCAGCGTAATCATTCTCAGGTCAGAGTCCCACGGGACTCATGACCACATTTTACTGTCTCAGATTCGAGACTCCCCCAACCTGGAGGGCCATGTCCCCGTGTTTATAACCCCCAGGAACAGGATGGCCCAGTTATACCCCCAGGCACTGGGTTCCCTTTTCGCCGCCTCCTACTACTCGCAGGGCTACGGTAAAGGTATTCGACCCCGCCTCCACAAGCGATTTGGCCCTCCATTGGGGGAGTGCCTGAGTCCGAGGCTTATGTAACGACTGCCGGTCAGTCGGCTGGTCTGTCTTGGAATAAAGCACCCATTTGGAGCTTACGGCCAGATTTTTATTACTGTCAGACAGTTGCGGGTTTTGTGGGGCGCTCTGACTAGAGGACGGGTCTGTCGTTTACAGTTGCTGCTGATTCTCGCCAGCGCAGGCATTCTTGGGTGGGACTCGCGATCATGTTTTACTGTCTCAGTTTCATGACTTTCCTTTACGTTGCCTCCTATGACTCGCAGGGCTGCGGTGGAGGTATTCGACCCCACCTCCACAAGGGGAATGTGTCCCGTTTTATCTCGTTATGTATCCTCGTGTCGGACGGCATAGAAAACACCGCCTCTTCTGTTGTCGCATATTTATTCGTTCCGTACCAATAGTTCATTTGTTTCATGACGTAATAGCATATATACCGTGCCGTTGCCTAGCTGTCTGCTGTTAAACTATTCGGTCATGTCACAATATTTATTTAGAAAATTCTGCAGTCTTCTGGCGCTTATATTTGCATGCAAGAGTCAAATCGTACAGACATCTTCGTGTTCACAGCTAGCTTCCGTGTCTGTCCCAGTACGAGCTAAATTACAAAGCTCTGCAACACGCAACACGTGCGTGCGTGACAAAGTCACATACACTCAGGGGATGCCACACGGAATTAACAGATAATTATATTTATCATTGAAACTGAGGAAATTACATCGGCGTGTCAATTCTGAAGCAGCTGGGAAGTCATCTGGGCATGAAAATTACGCGAATTGCATACATGTTTAAATCAGCTTCAGTATGAACAATTAACTACGCTGTCCGTTGGATCTAACTACAAGCCATGCTTAAAAAATGGGACATTATATATTCTATTTTTCAGGACATACTAATAGCTCATCTCCTTGTGAATTATTTATTCTACCAGACTTGCAACGAAAGCTAACTGTAAGAAATCCTCCAGACCGCAGCTAGTAATAGTAAAAGATGGTTCACAGTAAAAACAATATTTGTGGATCTCTTTGTTGTCTACGTACCCCCCTCATCGAAAAACTGTTCGTACTGCCTTGGGCTTCGACAGAAACTTAAGTTATCCCTTGGTCTCAGAGTGCAACTTCACGTATCCCTTGGTCTCAGAGTGCAACGTCACATATCCCTTGTTCTCAAATTACTCATATAAGCACATCTTCACATATCCCTTGTTCTAAGAGTGCAACTTCACGTATCCCTGGGTCTCTAGTACAGCTGCATGTACCCTTGGTCTCGGAGTGAAACTTCACGTACTACTTTACTGTATATTACATTTTTAGTAACTGAATAATTAGCCAGATGTTATCAAATACCCAAAGTTATGTGAAACTGATTGTAGAATATGTAGAATATACTAGTGCAACATCCGTAGAGAATTGAACGAGAAGTCTTCGTCGTTTGTTATATATGCTTTTGTGCTATGAGCTTCCCCTGTTTTCTGCCGCATTATTTTCCAGTCCTGCATGCCACTAAATGATAATTTGGGACCGACGTTTAACGCCACCTCCAACGAATAACACGCATAAACAGTCACTCTTAAATTTTGTCCTTTATTTAGCATGCTATACTTCAGTTATCCATATCAAAATATTATAAATACTCACAAAATAACCACAGTTCATCGAAAGAAAAATACTGCTCGGTCGTTCCTGACCTGCACTGCTACGTTCATGCAAGGTGCTGATCTTTAAAAATTTGTTGGTATAGCAACTCAGAGTTGCGTAATGACGATAAATTTCATGTTTACAACCATTGTTCATGTGTGTGTGTGTGCACGAGGGGGAGTCAGTAAATAAGGTCACATATGGAAGTAAAACAGCTCTAATGGACATAATAGATTTCTATGTGTATCACTAGGTAGCAACACAGTCCAGGTAGCAGGCGCGCATGCGCATGTTCAGAGGCTGGTTTCAGTAGTTAAAATAGCGACCGTGCTTGAAGATTTTACTACCCAAGAATAACGTTCTTTTGTGCTG